TGTATGGGCTGCCTTATCCGTTATGGTCTCACAAAGGACTTTGCATGGTTTCTTCTATGTTGGGTCGGCCGTTGTCGAGTGATAACTTTTGAATGAACCCGTTTAGATTATGCTCGGGTATGTGTTGAGATAGATGCAGCCAAGCCTCTCAAGCGCCAATTTGAATTTCAATGCCGGTTATCTACTGAACCCATTTAGCTTATAGTGGAATATGAGTGGACTCCCAAGAAATGCCTAAAGTGTTGTGTTTTTGGCCATGTTTGTCACCAACCAGAGGCACCTATTACACATATGGCTTAGGGTAAGAGTAAGACAGTTATTAGCTTCCAAAAGGCATCAGGTAGTGGTATTGCAGTGTGATCTAAGAACCGCGAGCCTTTGAGACAATCAGCTACTACTGATCCCATTAGGGAGCAGGAGAGGGATGTTTCAACCAGCTGGGGTTTCAGTTCCGGATGGGGCTACTACCATACATTCTAGTGTTGCTATAGTTGGGGATGGGGTTTCTTTGGCTTTGATCCCGTATCAGCAGACTGTCCGTGCCAGTAGAGGTGAGTTCTCCAACTTTGATTCAAGGCCAGATCCTGACATGCATTTTCATATTGAAGATGAGCAGGACCGCATTATGGGCTTCACAAACTGCACGAAAAACACTCAGGCTTCCTTTACGAGTTCTGGGAGCAGGCAATCTACTTCCTCCAATAGGTTTGCCTTGCTTGTTCTGCATATTGATGATCTTCAGACGCTAGATGCCACCTTATTTGGATCAGTTTCCCTGCCACCCCTGGTAAAGGGGAAAGGCTGGGGAAAGCGGGGGCCTAGGCGCAAGTGACTGTCTAGCTTGTTTCTTTCCCAATTCCAATGATAGGGAATTGGAATATTAGAGGCCTTAACGGCTTCTCGAAACAACGCGCGGTGAGGAATTGGATTTCTAATTCTTCTTTGGGTTTGATTGGCTTGTTGGAGACTAAGGTTGAGCAGTCTCATATATAGTCGGTGGTCTCAACAGTTTGTCCTTCATGACAGTTTTTGTCAAATGCGACGGATTCTATTGCTTGCCGAGTTCTAGTATGTTGGGATCCTTCTCTTTACTCTGTAAATAGCCTTTATTTCTCTCTTCAGGAGGTCACTTGCAGGGTTACTCATGTTTCAGAGGGGTCCTCCTTTAGGATTACTTTTATGTAAGGTTCTAACGACCCTAGGAATCGGCGCAACCTGTGGGATTTCCTTAGGGATCAGGCGGCAGAGTTTGATTCGGAGGGGTTACCGTGGTTTGTGTTGGGTGATTTTAATGCCATTTTGGGAGCCTCTGATAGAGTGGGTGGTGATCCTGCGTGGTATGGTTCTATGGATGATTTTCCCACGGTATTCATGATGCTGAGTTGATTGGGGTTCCTTTTACTAGGCTTCGGTATACTTGGCATAACAGTCAGCAAGGCGATGGGATTATTCTATGGAAGCTCGATTGGGTCTTTGCATCTCTTTCTTGGTTCATTGATCGGCCGACCACAGTTTCAGAGTTTCGACCTCGGGATGTCTTAGATCATAGCTCTATGGTTGTCCGGTTTGGCTCTCGCCATGGCAAGGTACCATCCCCTTTTAAATTTCTGAATTTTTGGGTTGATCGTGCAGATTTTGTGGATATTGTTTAGACAGTTTGGGACGAGCCTATTGTGGGCAATCCTATGTTCCGTCTTACGCAGAAATTGGGGTTATTGAAACGGAAGCTCAAATCTCTACATGTTAGGGATTCTAGCCATATCTCCAGCAGTGTGATTGAGGCTCGTGCTCAGTGGGCGACAACCCAAGCAAATTTGGACCGGGACCCCCTTTTTACTGAGTGTATCTCTCAAGAGAGGAACCTTGCCAACTGGTATTTCAGTCTTTGTCGAGATGAGGAGGCTTTTTTTAAGCAACGATCTAGTGTTCAGTGGTTGAACTTAGGGGATCAGAATACTAAGTTCTTTCATAAGTCGTTGATCCACAGGCAGGTTTGGAACCGCATCCATTGTTTGACTATCGGAATGGTACTTATATTACTGACAGTCAAGGTTGAGGGTGCCTGGTGGTGGTTTTTTTTAAGGTTCTTCTTGCTGTCCCTACTCAACCTTGGATCGCGGAGGCTTCCAGGTATTTCTCTGGGCGCATTTCTTTTGATATGATTTCTCCTTTGATTGCTTCTATCACTGATGATGAGATTAGGATTGCTTTATTCTCTATCCCGGATGATAAAGCTTTTGGTCCGGATGGATACACTTCTTTGTTTTTAAGCGGGCATGGGATATTATCAATACAGATTTCAAAGACGCGGTGAGATATTTCTTTGTTACTAATGCAATGCCAAGATGTGTTAATGCTACCAGGATTGCTTTGGTCCCTAAGGTGGAGAACCCGAGCCGTATGACTGACTTTAGACCGATATCTTGTTGTAATGTACTATACAAGTGCATTACTAAGGTGATAGTGAATCGGTTTAAAGTAGTGCTTCTGGATGTTATTGGGGGTTCTCAGTCGGCTTTTGTCCTAGGTCGAAGGATTTCTGATAATATTCTGCTGACTCAGGAGCTTTTGCGGAATTATCATCTTGGGGGTACTTCACCTCGATGTGCCCTTAAAGTTGATATTCGGAAAGCTTTTGATATTGTGAGTTGGGATTTCATCCTTTTGGGGCTACGTATCGTTGGGATTCCTGAGCGTATGGTGAGGTGGATCATGACGTGTATCTCTACACCGTATTTCTCTGTTGCCCTGAATGGAGAGCTTCAACGGTTTTTTAGGTCCTCTCGGGGTGTTCGGTAGGGAGACTCTTTTTCTCCTTACTTATTTGTGTTGGCTATGGAAGGGTTAGCTGGTATCCTTCGAGAAACCTCTCAAAGCCTTGGGTTTCATTATCATTGGAGGTGTAGGCAAACATCTATTACTCATTTGTGTTTTGTAGATGATCTGATGGTGTTTTGTCGAGCAGATGCTTCCTCTATTAGCCTGATAAAATCAGCATTGGATTCTTTTGCCAAGGTTTCTGGGTTAGTGACTAACGCAGAGAAGAGCCCGTTGTTTCTTTTTGGAGTTACAGATGTGGAGCAAGTTGGTTTGCAGTCTATTTGGGTTTCCAGTTGGGGGTGTTACTAGTCAGATATCTAGGGGTTCCTCTGATCTCTACCCGGCTTCGGCATTTTGATTGTAAGCCTCTGTTAGAGCGAATTCTGTCTTGGATTAGGCTATGGATGTCGGCATCTTTGACCTATGCAGGCCGACTTCAACTGATCAAGTCGGTGCTTTTCTCCATACAGGTCTATTGGTCATCCATGTTTCTTTTGCCGACAGCTATAGTTAGACGGATTGAGAGTATTTTGGCCTCGTTTCTCTGAAAGGGTACTTCTCTATCCCCTTCGAGTGCCAAGGTTGCATGGTCTTCTGTTTGCTATCCATTGAGAGAGGGTGGTATGGGGATTAAGAGGATCCAAGATTAGAATAGAGCGGCTATTCTTAAGCATGTCTGAAGACTACTTAATGATAGGTCTTTTATATGGTCCTCTTGGGCCCGTTTGGTTCTCCTCCGTGGTCGGTCTTTTTGGTATATTCGAGTTACATTTGGGGTTTCATGGGTTTGGAGGAAAATCTTACTCAGCAGGGATTGGTGTCAGGGTCTTATTGTGATTTGTATCGGTGATGGTAGGGACACCTTCTTATGGCGGGATCACTAGCTACCACAGGGACCTTTGTGTGACTTGCTCCCTCTTAGGATTTTGACTTCTATTGGTTTGCCATGGGATGCTCGGGTTTCGAATATTATTCGAGATGGTTTGTGGGATTTTCCTTCGAGTAGTGCAAAACTTCAGCATATCTGGAACTCTATTATAGTGCAGCCTTCAGTGGGTCTTCCTGATCATCTTGTGTGGAAGGGTCACTCGTCCGGACGATTCTCTATTGATTCAGCTTGGAATGTGTTGCGGGACAAATGGGATGTGAACTCGATTCATCATCTCTTGTGGTTTCCAGGGCATATTCCATGCCACTATTTCATTATGTGGTTTGCTTCTCTTGGTCGGCTTCACACCGTGGACCGGCTCATCCCTCATGGTGTCATTATATCCTCCTTGTGTGTTTTGTGCAGGTCGACTACAGAGACCCATGACCATTTGTTTTTCATCTGTGACTTCTCTAGTTATATTTGGCAAGAGGTCACTACCAGGACGCTCTCTACATGGCCTACTCTCTCTTGGCTCCCTTTGCTCCAGTGGGCTAGTTTACATCTTAGACGCAAAGGGGACTTCAGGCACTTTCTTTCTCGGTTAGTCATTTCAGCTACAGTTTATTTCCTATGGTTTGAACGGAATAACCTTGTGTTTCGTCAACACTGTAGCTCTCGTAGAGATATAATCTTAATTATTTGTGATTTAGTCCAAACCAAGATATTGGGTTTAGCACACAAGTATGAAATCTCGCCCAACTCCGTGCGATATGACATCTTCCTGATTAGCTTTGTGGAGAACCTACATGCTCTTTATGCTGGTTTGTGGCTTTGTGGTTTATGACATCTTCTTGATTAGTTTTGTCGAGAGCCTGCGTGCTCTTTTATGCCAATTTGTGGCTTTGTGGTTTTCTTCCATATGTTTTTTTTAACTGAGATTTATCAGTTTTACTCTTAAGGTATGCCCCTCGTATTTTTACATGTTTTTTTCTTTTTTATAAAATTCTTACCTTTCCCAAAAAATAAAAAAAATAAAAAGGTTCAAACCGGATCCGAAACCTGCACATATAAAAGCTTTTATCCACCACAATACACAGCAAGCTATTTAAACGCGAGAAAACTTTTTCATAGAGAATCAAATTCCTTAAATCTACAATTTCTTAGAGTCTTGACAAGTAAACAGAGCACTTAATTTAAAGCGCAGCATCGCCTAGCAAAAATTACAACAAAAATGTAAATAACTTGATAATGCTTCAAGTACAATTGTTAATGTGTTTTTAAGAGTGACCGTTTTTTTAATGGTTAGTTTATCTAGGCAAATGACAGTCCATGTATGCATGCTCCATAACAATGAAGACGACCAAAAAGCAGAATTGGCCCCACAGAAATGTTCCTCATCAATCTTCTTCAGAATAACTGAACTTAATGGAGTGTGATTGGAGATCAATCTGCCCTCCTCTATAGCTCCCTCGCTTCTTCTTAGTCTTTTCATGTCGAAAATCCCTGCAACAGAGGGGGAAAGAATTACAATTGGAAGGGTCACCTCTTCTCAATCCTATGATCTACTCCCTTTCTCCAACCCCGACCATGAAACAATAAGGGAAAAAGAGAACTATATCCCAGAATTAAAACTCTAAAAGGTAGTAACTTATCTTAATAGCCACCTCTTCACACAACCACAGAAAGTGGCATGATTAACATTGACAGTTTAACAAAGCTAAGTTCTAAATTATTAAGATGGATTCAACAAAATTTAGATTAATTCTACTAACTTACCTCAAAAAAATAATAAGTACAGCATAAAGCATTAGATTATTACAACAATTGGGACCAAAAGTAGCAGCTCGTTGCATAATCTAGACTGAAGAATTCTGGCTATCCAAACTGGTAAGCCGGAAATAGAAACATACTAATAGAATATCATTTTAATATGTGAAAGTTTTCAACTAATCAAACTGGTTGAATTAAGAATGAACGTAAAAAAGCATTGTTGTTATTAATTATATGCAAAAATTGTTGATGCAATACAAGTAGTGGACTCAAATTTTGAAAAAGCAGATTCACCATCATATGATCTCTACCACCATTAGCCAGAATACATATAATAATACAGCCACCATTTCATAAACCAAGGATAAATCTTCTGGAATTAGGATTACACAACAATCTGCATTAAAGGATTCATGTTTCCCAGGAGCAACCTTTTCAACAATTCTATTTATGGTGAACTTTCATTCTATTTTTAAAGAATTGGCAAATTAAACAATGTCCAAACAGCAGAAAGGCAATTTCCCCTAAAGTCATGTTGAAGGAAATAAATGAATCAAATAAATATCTTCAAGTGACAAACTCATGACCACAAAATGTACCTTCCTCTAACTTGGCCTAGCACTTCTTGTGCTTTAGCACCATAGCCACTATCTGCACCATCCTGTAGAGATACTTTTGGTGTAAAAAATTCCACATTCATTTAAGAAACAAAATTGAAGGATCAAAAAAATATTAAAAGCAAGCACAAAAAACTTATCAAACCTTTGCCCAGTATGAATTATCTTTAAGCCTCTCATCAGTAAAGTCCACCTCATCAACTTTTACTCTCTGAAATGCTTGAACAACTGTCCTTGGCTGCAATGATAGAATTAAGCAATATGATTCCCACAGACGTTTAATGATACTGCAGAAAATTCTTAAGACCCAAAATCAAACCAACGTCATTGTGCACACAAGATTAATCAACATGCTGTTCAAGAAAACCATTTAACTGAAAAAAACTAAGACCGTCAACAGGGACAATCAGATCAGTATTCCAATTAAATTTATGAATTAGAAGATATGCAAAGTATGTTCCAGTAATTCTGTAGTCCCAGGTTGATTAAAATAAAAATTACTAATTCACCATAACACTTAGAACTAGTAAAAGTATATAAAATGCATCTAATTCTGTGTTGATTTTGGCTTTTGTTAATTGACTATTACATTTTTTTTTTAATTTTACTTTATCATTACTTAATGTTTCATACAATTTCGTGAACATATAAGCAACAATTTCAATTACAAACACAAGACAATCATCAAGCGTGTTTAATAAATACCTATCATCGCCTTTTTATATTCTTAAATTTTAGTCTATATTAAAGTTAACAATATGTTGGACATTTCGTGGGTATTCTATCTAGCATAAAGGAAAGCATTCTATATGACATCACACACCATGCACATGAGCAGGAAGGTGCCTGCCACAGAAAATGTGCAAGAAGTATTCCAGGAAAACAATTTCTGTGAGGCCTTTTACAATTTTAAGAGGTTTGGAGTCCAAATATGAAGACAATCTATTAGCATACTAACTTCACAGGGTTTGTACATATTGAGTTTGAATCATACCTCTGCTGAACCATTCACTTCCTTAACGGATTTATGCAGGGAAGATTTATATTCTTTCTCAAGATTTGCATTCACTTGACCAAGGTGGTCTTTACTTTGTTTACTAGCATCTTCATTAGTTCCCAAAGATGCTTTCACCTCCGCAACTTTATAGCTTTCTTTCTGTTCTTCTGAACCCTTTGTCTTCCTGCGTTTGGATTCTTCAACTTCTTTTTCGTAAATAGGCTGAGTATTGTTTTCTTCACCATCCAATCTTTTTCTTTTCTTGGAACTTTTACTCTTCTCCTTAACAGTTGCATCTTCTTCAAATGTCTTATTATCATCCTTTTTAGACTCAGTTCCACTTGAATCCAACTTGCTTTTCTTCTTTTTTTCCTTATGTTTCTTTTCAGACTCATGCAACTCTGAGTCACGCACACCATCATCAGTAGACTTCTTTAATAAATCAATGCTGACTTGCTCTACCTCTCCAATAGCATCAGAAATCTTTTTACTTTTTCTCTTCTCTGTAGATTTTTTATTCAATTCGGGGACCATATCATCCAGTATCACCTGCTTAATCTCCTTATAATCAGCAAATTTACCAGATTCTTCTGATTGAATAACTATAGCATCACCATCACCATCACCATCACCATTCCAATCTCTTCTCTTTTTCTTTTTCTTACCAACTCCTACGCCAACAACCACGTTAGCCTCTTTGATGCCTTTAGAATTGCCATTCATAAATAAATCTGCAATTTTACAGACTCAACATTATTGCTAACATTAGTATTTACACAATACAAATCATATATATGGGGGTGGGGGGTGACTGACTTATCACCATGCCCATCAGCATCACATGGCAAGCTCAAAGCTTTATGACCTACCTTGTACATTCTGTCTGCTGAAATTTGTGTTTCCATGATCACTGCACATTGAAGAAGCTAGCGAAATGAGAATGGAACTGAAATTTAGTTTAATGATTAAAACAACAAAAGCCAAAGAAATTTTGGCAAGTATAATGAAATGTCTAAAAACATGAACCACAAAAGAAAATTATTGGCATTCTCATCTAGAAAGCACATCCAATCATAAATCTGACAGATAACAATCAATAATAGCGATCAAAGTTATACTTGTAATCTAAGAGGGATATATATTTTTGTCCTTAAGATTGGGTGTGAGTAACACTTGGCCCCAAGTACTTGGGTAACTAACACTTTCATCCAGTCAGTAAATAGTGGTAACAATCATAGCCCACTGAAACACTGATAGGACCTGACCTGCAATTCAAGCAAACTACCACAAACAATCTGCACTCACAAGTTAAATTCACCCAAAATAGTAATAGAATCCTGTGTATTAACCTCAACAAGTATTACAGCTAAGCAACACGTTAGATTCCAACAGTCCTATCCTCAGTATTTAGTAAGCAAACAACTCAGAAACGTAATGCAAAAATACAATCAGAAAAGAAAATCACAACACTGACTTCGAGGGTCAGACACCTCTCAAATACTGACTTCGAGGGTCAGTAGCCTCCCTTTTCACTTTACTCTATAATTCTCTGCCTTTTCTATTTCACTCCTCCTCCTTTTATTCTCTCCTGTCACCCTTTATTCTAACTGAATTCCACCTACGTTCCACCATAACCTGCCATCTGTCCTAACAATATTCCTTTAAAACAAACTCAAAACAAATCCTGACTTCCAGCCTTGCAGATAATTGGCCATGTTCCTCTACTGCCTATTCCCACGCTTCCTGTGGTACACTATCTTTATTGGTTGCTCATCAAACACATTTCAGTTAAAAGGCCTATCATGCCCTTTTACCTGTCTCTTGATTTCGTGTTGGACAGCATGAATATGCTGGACCAAGCACCGCAGCTGATCAAGTCTGATTTGATGAAATCCTTCAAAGAGAAACTATTCAGCCCAAACAACAGCAAACTGTGCAAAGAGGTGGGAGAAATAAAGCGAAGGAGATAACCAATGGTCTGCCTCTTATTCCATTATAATTACTTAATGATTAATGAATATTATTTCTGTTATAGAACAAAATGACTAATCTATTGCCTCACCCATGTTGCAACCGACAAACATTTGGTTTCATCACCTACTGCATCAACTTCCTCTTGAAAAAAAAAAACTCAAAACACTAGTCCCATCCTAAATCCTCCAGCAATCTGTATCACCAAGTAACCCAAGGAAAGTAGAAAACACTAAAAGAATCTCCACAAAAGAAAAATCCACATAAAAAGTCATTCTCATCTCTTTTTCTTTTCTTCCTCATCTCCATCTTGGTCACCTATTTTTAGACTATTGTTGACAAATTGAGCTACTAGTTATGGTGAGGGCTGTCTTCAGCATGTCTTGTGGTTGTTGTGACTAGTGTTGGGTGGGCAAGGAGGCAAATGGTTGAGGGTAGGGATTGGATCTACAATGGTGGAGGGTTTCGTGGATAGTGGTGGCAATGGCTAGTGTGTTTAGGAGTTCTGTGTGTTTGGGTCAGAAAGAGATAAGAGAGATGATGAGAGGAGAGTGAAATGAATGAGAAAGAGGTGAGAGAGAAGACATGAAAGAGAATTTTTTTTTTCACATTATGGATTGGAAACATCAGATTTACCCTTATTACAAAGGTTAGCCATGATTACTAACAGTGGTTTACTGACGGAAAGAAAGTGTAGTAAACCAAATTAGTTGAATTGAAGTATTACTACCCCCAAACCTCAAGGATGAAAGTTAAATATCCCAATCTAAAAACATGCATCAACAAAGTGTACATTAATTATATAATTATGGACTTTGTCTGGGGCAACCAATAACATTGCACAATCAATTCAATTCTAAGCAGTCTTCAAAACTTGTTTTGATCTCCGGTTCATCCTAGCATCAAAATTGCCAAACAAAACCTCCAAAAGAAACGACAATTTTTTTTTTTTTTTTTTTTCAAATTACACTGCAATGAATCATCTTTATGCCTACCGAACCCAGATAATTGTCCTGTTAGATGTCCAGAATACCTTACGGAGATTATAGATCAAAACAAAACACCACCCCCAAATATATAGCACAGAGCTGATAAAAGACAATTAATACACAATAGAAAAAGAAATAATTCATCATCTTACATTGCCTCCAAATACTTGTAGCACATGTCCTCCAAATCCAAAGTGCAACCAATGAAATCATCTTTCTGCAACATGAGCAGAAGAAAGAATATCGGCATGAGTGAATAAGGTCAAACTAATAGATATACTACACGAAAATTGTTCTAAAATTCACTAAACAAATCAGAGATCAAGATTCAAGAACATGCAAATTTAATCCCATGAACTTGGTTTGCCTCACATATTGCCACTGGCAATTCCTTATAGTAAGGTCTTGATAGAAAAACATAATAGTACATTGCTTGGTTTTGTGGGATTTATAATCATTCACCAACAAAACAAAGCACATAAATCAAATTCTACACTATATTAACGGATAAATAAGTCATGCTTCCATTGTGACTGCCAACTATAGCAACCATAAAGAGCCATAATAAAAATAAAAATAATAATAATAATAATAATAATAATAATAATAATAATAAGGCTTACAAAAACTGAAGTAAAATATGAAAAAATTCACACAAGACTTGGGATGCTCAATTCAACATAACTACATTTTTATCCACAACTGGAGAAATATAAACAAAAGTCCGCAGAGCAAAACGAGGTATGTTTATTGATTTGTGTTTCTTTAAAGCAAAACCACAATACTTAGCATACATTTTCGTGAAATCAATGTGAATATAAAAGAAAACCCACCTGTATTTGTGCTTCAGATAAAAGCTTCTTAAGAGTTTTGGAGAAGCCATTGGAGTTCAAGTAGCCAGCTACGGAGCGAAGGAGGAGAGCCTTCTGTTCCGATTTTAAAGCTGGGGCGGAGGGCTTGTCAATGACGTGCTTCATGTTTTGGTTTGCAAGTAATACTTGGCGAGGCTTGAATGATATGAGGCTAGGGTTTATTGGGTCTGAAATTAGGGTTTTATGTTTAAGCATATAAATACTTAAAATGCAAGAGCTTTTTCAGCTCAGCCCGGGAACAGTTACAGGACCAAGAATCTGTCTCAGGGAGAGCGAATTAGGGTTTTGGAAGACTTTAGGCTTTTGCTCGTGTTAACTGTTTTAAGGCAGACAATCCCTTATAATTACATATAATACCATAATAAATAAATAAATAAATATATATATATAATTGGGAGTTTCACTTAAATTACCCAAACATTTTTGAAATAGTCAAAACATTGGTCGGGTACCCACCCAAATATTGTGGAATCGGAATGAGAACCTGAACCGATCGATTTATAGGATTTGGAACCTAAATTGGAGCCGCCTGGTTTTGGATCCTAAATGGCTAGAAAAGGAAACCTAAAACACAGATTTTTTTTTTGGTTCTAAGTACTTGGGAAAATAACAATACACACAAATAAACCCTATAAAATCACAAATACACCCTCATCTATTTACAGAAATTACAAGAAATCACCGCAAGATAAATTAGTGCATTATTTCTAACAATTTCTCTCATCTTTATATTTAAAATAATGCAACTGAAACATCATACCTCTTGATCGTTTCACTTGTGCTAAAGTGCTCTTCAATAACAATATCTTGGCAATCCAATAAAGTGTAATAGACAAAACTCAATCAAAAATACATTATAAAACATAATTAATTACAACCCTTCAATATCTAAATTCACCCAATTCAATTTCTTAAAAAAAATTAATAACAAATTGAAGAAATAAAAAAATTGAAGCTTCATAGTTGCAATTCAACCACTAGATCTAGGCCATGGTGGCCAAAAACATCAGATATGGGCAGTGGTGGCAAGATTTAGTCACTGCCTAGGCGCAATTGGAGGAAGATGGAGAAAAAGAGAATGAGATATAAGGAGGAGATGGAGAAGAAAGGGAGAAGAAAGGAGGAACATGAGAGAGAGAAAAAACTTATAAGAAAGGAAGAGGAGGAGAAGAGAAGAAGGAAAGAGGAAGAAGATGAAGGATGAAAATGATGGAAGAGAGAGAAAATGTAACAACTAATTCCAAATTTTCCCCCTAATTTGCAAAACCTAATTCCTTATTCAATAACCAAAATCACATAATACCCTTCATAATTTTATGAAATATCATTTTACCCCTATTCTCACTAGGGTACCTGGATCCCGATTCTCACATTTGGTTCTGGTTCCAGTTCTATTTCCAGTTCCAAACACAATGGAATCAAACTTGGACCTGCATAGTGTTGGTTCCGCCTATTAGGAACCAAAACCGACCTTGTGTAGGTCGGTTCCAGCTCTAACCCTAATTTCATGCTCATCGACTAAGTTAGTTAACATTTATGGCCATTTTTAAGGGTAGACTGGGATGGCAAACAGGCGGCTAGGGACATGGATTGTCATCCCCATCCCAAAAAGGGATTTTATCCCCATCCTTGTCTTTATCCTCAAATTGACCTATACGGGGACAAGACAAGGATCCCTGAATGGGGATGGATTCCTGAAGACCCAATCTTCAATATTCTTAAATGAATACAATATATATATGTATATATATTTCAATTAATTTTTTCGAGAATTGGGACAGGCGAGGAAGGGATGGTTCTCCATCCTGACTCGAAAGTAATTTGAAGATGGTTTCATCCCCATCCTCATCTCGTCTTGGAAAATTTTGTTAAAATTCCCTACTCAAACAAGCTCCAAGTACTTACCCCCTTTGGGGAAGATTAACCTTTTCTATTATGATCCCTAGACTTTTTGGGGCATTCTTGGTTTTTATCATCTACCCCCTTAGAGATTATTAAGTTTTTAGCTTCACCCGAGTTTTGATAAAGTATTAGGTACCTCCTTATATTTACTTTATCCCCTTAAAATTATCATGTATCACTTTAAGATCATCATTTATCCTTATAAAGTATCAAAACCTAGCTAATGGGGGATATATATGTAACGCCCCGCTTGAGGTCGTTGTTATTGTTTCCTCTTTCGCCCTTAATCGAGTTGGTTTTTGTTTATTTTTTGTTTGAATGTTATGTTATTTGTGCCCTGAAATTGGTTGAAAATAGAAGGATTTGAGTGTACAAGCTTCGCCGGGCGAAGAAGAATCTTCGCCGCGGCGAAGATGGGTTGAACCAAGGGTGAACTCTCTGGACATTTCGCCGCGGCGACTAAGGTTCTTTCGCCGCGGCGACAGGCCGAATAAAATGTTGGTTGAGTTTTAGACATTTTCTTCCCTAAGGACATTTTGACCTTTCTACCCCTTTTAGCAGGAAAAGTGGGGAGTTATTGTAAGGATTTTTCATGGAGAATTGTTTGATATGGGGGTGAGTTTGTAATGATCAAGGATATAGATGGAATTCCCAAAGAAGAGTAAGGGCAATATGGGAATGCTTTGTTATACATTTCATTAAAAAGGGATTAGAATAACAAAACCCCTCATTTCTTCTCCTCAAACGCAGCACTCCATTCTTCTTCCTCTCAACTTCTCTTCTCTCTTGATCAAGGATTTCCAGGGATTTTGAAGTGATTTGGGGTATAGAAAGCAACCTAAGGCTTCCTAAGGTAGTATTCTCCTTAGTTGTGTGATTTGTAGATTTTTGTTCATTTTGGTTTTTGAGGGTTTTCATTCTTTTTGGTTAAGAGTAAGAGAATAGTCAAGAAAACCAAGTGGAAAGAAGATTTGGTGAAGTCTCTCCATAGCAAGTAATAAAACCCAACCCAAGTTGAGATTTATGAAATTTCTTGATTAGGGTTTTGGTAGACTTGATTTATTGTATGTGATATACATGTAATTGGCAGGTATGAAGGATTAAATAATTTCTATGCTTTGTGAATGTTATTACTTTGCAAATATGAGAAATGGGTTGTTGGTTTGGCAAGGTAGTTGAGATGGATTTGAAGGGGTGTTATGGAACCCTTTTTGGAAGTGTTTTATTTGACAGGTTATTATGACTTTGTGAAGGGGTTTTTCCCCATTTGGATGGTTAGGAAAAGTTTTAGATTCATGGCTATGCAGAGTTTTATAGTGCACATGAGTTGTTTGATGAAATGCCTATAGAGGTTTGAGTGTAAGTAATGAACCTTAATTCTTGCAACATTGCATGTTGGCTCACAAGTGCATTAGTAGAGATGAATCATCCATGTGCATTGTATATGCATTGACAAGTGACCTAAGAAAGAGTAGGAAACTTTGTGTTTAGAAATACCCTATGAGTAGAGAGCTTAGTGGGTAAAATTACTCTAAGGTAGAGCAATTGAAAAATGCTCATATAATGAGTTAGAAGAGTAATATAGTTGGGATGTGCTTTGTGCATCACCCGACCGTTATGGGAATCGATTGAGTTTTTGTGAACATCATCCAATAGCCCTTAGAGATGGGTCGATGCTTAGTGATCGTCACCCAATGAGTAATAGGAATGGGTAGATGCTTTGTGACCACCACCCGTTAGTTTAAGAATATGTAGGTTGATGCTGTGTGATCATCATCCAACCTAGTAGAGGCGGTTGATGCTTTGTGATCATCACCCGATAGTGACTAGAGACGGGTAATTCTTGGTGATCATTACCCAAATTCATGAGGAACGGGTAGGTGCTAGGTGTCCCCACCCGATAGCTAGGAGGAACCAGTTGGTGCTTTGTGATCCTTACTCGGTAGTCCCCAAGGAAGTGTGGTACTGTGTGAATTCCACCCATAGCCATAGAGAGTGAGATGGTGCTGTGTGAACGCCATCCGGCCGTACCTCCGGTAAGATGAGGCCATGAGTTTATTAAAACAGAATATAAACACAGATTAAAAAGGAAAGATTAAGAGTCACACACGGGGCCAGACAGTTAGAGAGTTTTACTTACTGAGCATTATTTGTGCTCACCCCGTTATTTTTCCTTTGTGGATGCAGGTTCTAGGTGATGATGCGGTTGGAGGGGCGTCGCGCACGAGGAGCAATACTACACTGTTCCCCTATTTTGTCTTTTAAAATGCACTTTTGTAAACAGTAACCTTTGTGTATAAAAGACATGTGAATTGTAATGAAAAAACGTTTTGGGCCCAATTTTCCATTGTTAATTGCATGCAGTACTAGTTTTCAGTAGTGTTACAATATACTTTCTAGAAATTATAAGGGAGTACAATACTTCTTAATCTCTCAAAGGTAAGGAAAAAAAAAAACCCTTTAATCTTCCATTTAGATTTTTAATTGTCTTGGCCCAAATAACTAAAGGCCGTTTGTAACGACTCGATTCTTATAAAAACATGCACGTGAAAATATACGTAACCATAATATAAAAGTTGGGCCCAAAATTTTTCTTTCATTAAACATATGCATTCTTTATACAATATTACAAGGTTTGTGACATATGCAAACTATCAAAGGGGTGGACAGTGTAGCCATTTCTCTTCGTGGGCCGATGTCCATCCGACTGTGCCTCATCTAGAACCTGCAAAAACATAGGGAACAACTGGATGAGCCAACAAGGCTCAGTAGAAACCCCTGAACTCAAATATCTCTGTAACTCTTTCTTTAATCACTAGCTAATTACTCTTTCTCATAGCTCTTCTATACTAACTTTCTTTCTAGTAAGTCACAGCCCCATCTGACCGGAGGCACGGCTGGACTCGCTCCCACTTTCGGTGACTTCTACTCTCTAGCCGATCGGACTTGGTTATGCATGGATTCGAAAACTTTGGCCATGGGAGTGCATAGAATCTCTCGGGTAAACTCGGGTATAGCCCTCATCCGCATGTACACTACGGCTACCCCCCTTCTCTTTCTGATACTCTGGCCGCTTATTAATGCAGCGTACTGCGAATACTCTACCCGTACTCACCGTTCCCCATCGCACAACCTACTCTATTCTCTTATTAAGCACTACTCTCTTATTAAGCACTACTCTAGCTTTACTCTATAGTGCCCTTCTCTTTTTCTTTCTACTCTTAGAGTAGTCTAAACTCAAAATCTCTACTCTTTCTTTTCTAATGCATAAGAAAGCATAATTATGCACATCAATGGCTCATACTCATTAATGCATTTATGAAAAGTAACTATGACATGTAGCAACAATTAAGGCTTTCTACCCTTACTTATGATTCTCTTGAGCATTTTATCAAGCAACTCATGTGCAAGTAATACTCTACTCTAATTCTAACTTTTCTGTTTCCTT